GCCGCCATGCTCTCTCTTTTTCCTGCCTCTTGTAGTGCAGAATTCGTTGTCCAACTCCCCTGGGTCGCTAGACCGACCCGGGCGCGCTTGCTGGGTCCAAGACAAAAAGTTGGTCTCCCCACGCTCTCGAGCGCGCGGCTGGCGGACCGACGGTGGGCGCGGTCGCTCAGGCACCTCCAGTGCAGTGAGGGTGCCTTCTATAAGCCCCAGGGGGAGGAGGAGGAGGAGGAGGAGGAGGAGGGGGAGGAGGAGGAGGAGGAGGAGGAAGGAGGAAAGGAGGAGGGGGAGGAGGAGGAGGAGGGGAGGAGGAGGAGGAGAAAAGGGAGGAGGGGGAGGAGGAGGAGGAGGAGGAGGAGGAGGAGGCGCGCGCGTATCCTGAGACGCGGAGTGGAGGAGGGGGAGGGGGGAGGAGTGAGTGGGGAGGAGGAGGAGGAGGAGGAGAGGAGGAGGGGGAGGAGGGAGGTGGAGGAGGAGGACGGAGATAGGAGGAGGTGGGGGAGGAGGAGGAGGGGGAGGAGGAGAGGTGGAGGGGAGAAGGAGGAGGAGAAGAAGGAGGGGGAGGAGGAGGAGGAGAAGGAGGGGGAGGAGGAAGAGGAGGAGGAGGAGGAGGAGGAGGAGGAGGAGGAGGAGGAGGAGGATGGGCGATCCTTCAAACGACCCCCCTGAGACTGGACTGGAGGGCCCGAAGGTCTCGAGCCAGAGGCTTTCCTGCACCCTTTTGCCCCCCGGGGAGGCCCGCCGCCGGGCCACCCGTGGGGCTCCCTCGGAGGACGGCCTCCCGGCGAGCAGCGGGTCCCGGGGCGGAGTGGCCAAGAGGTCTCGGTGAGAAAAACAACTATAGGCGACGAGCCCAGGGGGGAAATGAGAAGGAGAAGGCCTTCTCAGAAGGCCGCGGGACTTCTCAGAAGTCCGGGGGGCTTCTGAGACGTTTCCTTGGCCTGTTTCGAATACAGACAGGACTTCTCAGAAGCCCTCTCAGAAGTCCAGAAACTTCTCAGAAGCCTCCGAAGTCCCGCCCCTTCTCATTTCCCCCCCGCGCCCGCCGCCGAAATTACCGCGTTGGAAGTAAATCTGGACGCCCGAAAGGGGTACGGAAAAATGGGTACAAAGCCCAACAACAAATGTTGTCCCAAACCAACAGCGGCCGCTGTTGGGCAGGCGGCCTTCTGTCTCAAATGGACACAGGCCGCGGCGGCGCGGACAGCGAGTCCTGTTCAAAATGAACAGGAACTGCTGCTGGGCATCGTGCCCATTCTTTCCGTACCCATTTCGGGCGTCCAGAGGAAAGGGTTGGGGAGATACGGCGGGTTCGTGCGGCGACGGCGCGCGCACTGTTTTTCGACACCGCGCCGATCGCTCAGCCTTGAATCGATCGCAACCCCAATCGTTCGAGGCTGTAGTCGGTCGGGTACAGTGGCGTTGCCGTGTCCATCGGTGCGTCCGCTTCGCGGAATTCAACCTTGAACGCCTTCGCCGGCGTGGCCGGCGCGCCGACGCCGCATGAACCTGCCATACAGGGCACGACTGTGCAATAAGCCCTTCCAATATACGCGATGATGCGGACGACCTGGTCCTTTCTCCCAGCCCCATCCCCCCGATCCAATGATTATCTTCCTGGCTGGGGCATCGCGGCACGAATAAAGTGTGGAATTGTCGGAGGTCTCGGAACACAGGCCCCCTCGCGTGGTGGAAAAAACGCTCCAGCGTGTGGCATGAACTGGCTGTTTTCGGCCTTTCGGGGTCCCTCGCAGGGTCCCTAGATAGATCGGCGATAGGACCACGATAGCGGATCCGCACGTTCCTGGGCGGTGTGGGCTATCGGGCCCCTGTCGGCCTCAGGAAGGAGAGCCAGTCCCAGGAAATGGCTCGAGACCTCCGGGGGTCCATGTCAAAGAAGAATCATGGCGTCGGGGTCTGGGAAATCAGCCCGAGCCAGAGCGAAGGGAGGACGAGGGGGAGAAGCGAAGGGGGGGGTCGAAGAGACCTCATAACATCGACCCCCAAAGGTCTCGACCCGTTTACTGGGACTCGTGTTTCATCCTGAGTCGGTTTTTGTTGGTCCCGAGGCCCTGTAAGGGCCCTCTTAGGCCGAAAATGCAAACAAACAAAAAAACCTTCCGTCGTAGTGTTTGTCATCTGGGGAGGGAGGGGCGGTGGTGGCCGAGGGTCGGGGAGGGGGCAGGGAGGACGGAGGCGGGTAAGAGGATC